GACTTGAATGTAATACCTGAAACTATGAAACTTCTAGAAGAAAACACAGGCAGTACGCTCTTCGACATTGGTCTTAGCAACATGTTTTCAAACACCATGTCTGACCGGGCAAGAGAAACAATAGAAAAAATAAACAAATGGGACTACATCAAACTAAAAAGCTTCTGCACAGCATAAGAAACCATCAACAAATGAAAAGGCAACCTAACAATTGGGAGAAGATGTTTGCAAACCATACATCTGATAATGGGTTAATCTCCAAACTATATAAAGAACTGAAGCATCTCAACAACAAAAAACTAACAACCCAATTAAAAAATGGACAAAAGGCCTGAACAGACATTTCTCCAAAGAAGATATACAGATGGCCAACAGACACATTCAAAGATGTTCAACTATCAGGGAAATGCAAATCAAAACTACAATGAGATATCACCTCATGCCCGTCAGAACGGCTATAATTAACAAGACAAGAAACAACAAGTGTTGGAGAGGATGTGGAGCGAAGGGAACACTCATACGCTGCTGGTGGGAGTGCAAACCACTATGGAAAACAGTATGGAGATTCCTCAAAAAAATCAAGGGTAGAACTACCATATGATCCAGCTATTCCACTGCTGGGTATTTATCCAAAGAACTTGGAAACACCAACGCATAAAGATACATGCACCCCTGTGTTCATTGCAGCATTATTCACAATAGCCAAGACTTGGAAGCAACCTAAGTGCCCATCAAGGGACGAATGGGTAAAGAAGGAAATTTTTAGAAGATGAGTTAGTGCTAATCCGTAGTGCTATGACATTTTATCCCATATTTTCTTTTCAATTCTTCTCTAGCACATTGTGCATGTACCAAATAGGAATTTTATGACATGAGAGTGTGATTATTTATTTGCTTCTCCCTTACTCACTGGAGTTTAAGAGCCATAAAGACATTATCTGAAACATTGCTTTATTCATCAAACTAGCACAGGATAGGTCCTCACAAACGTTGCCTGGGTGAATCAATAAACCACTACAAATAAGCCTCTGTGTGAGCTTACCACTGGTTCACCCTTCTGCCCTTCATCACTGCCCACTCTATCCCCATTTCGAGAAACGTATTTTCAGTGTGAATTTGTGGTGTGATTGTAACTAAAGCAGAATGTCAGTTATGAAAGGGAAAGGATTGCGCCATATTTTGCTAGCTTTAATTTAACTTCGACTGTTTTCATTAAATCTTTTAGTCAAAATTCAGTACTAAACATGCAAAATGCTTTCTCTACTTTTCAAATGAAAATCAAAAGGCATTTCACTTTTGAGTCTCACCAATTAAATTTTCTGGGAAGAACTGCATACTATATAGCAGGTTTATTTTAGGTTGTTTACTAAGATTTCTGTAGATCAAAGTCCAAAGGTGACTTTGAAGCACTGATGAGGACAAGAACTTTTACAAAGTACACATTTAACAGATTTAGTTGTCAACTGCAGGAAGTACCTCAGCAAAATATTTCTCTCCGTGACTAATGAAAATAGCTACTTACGTGACCCTAACACAATTTGGAGAAACACCTCCCATGGCCCTGCTTTGGAGGTGAGACAGGGCCAATTGAGAAGAAAGTGTGGTCATGACACATTTAGTGTGACGTGTAAAAGGAAATATTTTCTCTTTGAACTTTTATAGAGACAGTCATTTTGCTTCATCTTGCGGATCACCTCTTCAGCATCCATGGGTTTTCAGGACTTCCTGGAACAAGTTGGAGGCCTGGGGAGATTCCAGATCATTCAGATGGTTTTCATTTGTATCTCCAACATCATAGTATACCCTCGTATACTATTGGAGAACTTCACTGCAGCCATCCCTGGTCACCGCTGCTGGGTCCACATACTCGACAATGGCACTGTCTCTGCTAATGCTACTGGGATCCTCAGCCAAGACACCCTCCTGAGAATCTCCATCCCACTGGATTCAAGCCTGATGCCAGAGAAGTGTCGTCGTTTCCGCCACCCCCAGTGGCAGCTCCTTCACCTGAATGAGACCTTCCCTAACATGAGTGAACCAGACACAGAGCCCTGTGTGAATGGCTGGGTGTATGACCGAAGCTCCTACTCCTCCACCACTGTGACTGAGGTAAGAGTCCCCATGGAAGTCCTGTGAGTACATGGCGTGGGTGTTTATAGGTAGAACACACAAAGAACATGCTTGAAGCCTTTAGTCACTACATAGGTGCTCATTCTTTATCTTTCAGCAAATATTAATTGCTTCTTTATTAAATGATTCACATTTAAATAAATAATGATACTAATGAATTCAAAATAGACATGAACCCTGCTATTCTAGTGCTTTTATTCTAAAGAACCCAGTTTAAGCAAGTAATTGAGGTAATGTGTTAAAAAATGTTATGCTAGGTCAGTAATGCCTACTATTTGGTTGCAAATTATAAACATTTGAGAGATTGATGAAAACATCCATGCTCAGACTATACCCCAGAACAGTTATGTAAGAAGGTCTGTGATGAAATTCAGGCATAAATAACATTTTAAAACTCGAATAATTGCACTCTATGGCCAAGAGTAAGAAACAGCATGGAATAAAACAGAGCATTAGTAAAACCTACAGTTTTAGAGGAGGCTTCCATAAAAAAGTTATCTTTAAGCTGAGATCTAAATGAGAATGTCAGGTAATGCATAATCAGAAGCTGCAAAAGAAGATAGGGATCCGATATACTAAAATTTGCAAGTAATGCTGAGGTGTTTCCAATGAAGGGTTATAAGCTGCTATGGAGCTCTCCTTTGCAATTTTCCTTCTCTTCCAGTGGGACCTGGTATGCGAATTTCAGTCACTGCTCTCAGTGTCTAAATTCTTATTCATGGCTGGAATGCTGGTGGGAGGCATCATATATGGCCATTTATCAGACAGGTGAGTGTCTTGGGATCTCAACTCTCTTTCCTGAGTATTTTCATCATTTCATGATTCATTCTTTCCTTCAAAAATAATTATTACGCTGTCCTGGAGCTCTTTGGTCTCCAGTGTTCTAGAAATATGAGTAGACAATTAATCAGTGTGGTGAGTGCTACTTTTTCAACATTGAGCTTGGTGTACAGGGCACGTAATGACATTGCCATCAAATCTGAAAACACATAAGGACAAGGTGTACAGAGGAGGTTCTATAACATGTGGTTTGGAAACATGAGAAAGTGTTACCTATGGGAATGCTGAGGAAAATGTTTCATGGATGAGATTCAGCCTGTTTGAGACACAGGTATGGAAATCTTCTGTGTCAGCCTTGACCACGTGTGCCATGTTCAGTCCTCCCTGGAGCCTGTGAGCTGAATGGTTGTGGCTTCCCAGAGAATGGTCATCATGGTCTACTTGGCCTAGTGTGATGGGTAGATTTTTCTTCACAACCTGTGGGGTATATGCAAAGTGTCCTTGGTGGTTGTTGAAAAATTATGTCAGGAATCCTACTTTTTGTGTTTGCAAAAACAGGTTTTTTAAGGTAAGTTTTGCAATCCTGTAAAGTAATTAATCGAATCACAACTTCTGTCACAGTGTGTCATGTGAGAAGTTCGGGGTACTCTGTGCCAGACAGTACCTCTTCTGAAACAGACTTATTCTGAAATCACTGTTGACACCCAACCGTGTCTCTCCTGAGAGAACTGGATATGAGGTGCCCCTTACCATTGACCAGAATATTATTAACAGTTGTCTCACCTGAGAAATGTGAACACTAAATATATCACAGTAAATGTAACATATAAATGAGTTCAGAGTCAGAGTGTTCATTTTTAGCAGTCTAGTAACCCAGCCTTCTGTGACAGTGTCATGAGAAATTATAGATATATCAATTATTATGGATCACAGAGTAGTACAGGTGTGGAATGGAAAGGGCCTAGTAGCAGATTACAGTGGAGAACTAGCTGAAATTGAGGAGCAAAGACAATGTAAGGATTTTGAATTTCATCAGAAACCTGAGAGGAATAACTGAAGGATTATGTGTAGGAGAAGGGCATGAACAAATTGATACTTTTGAAATAACACACTCAACTATTCATAATATCCAAATACCAGGAACAATCTAGAGTATGTCAATAATAGAATAAGATGCAGAATAGCCACATAATAAATTCACATACAGGAAATGGAATGAACAAACTACTTTATGCAGTAACATGAATGAATATCAAAACCATGCAGTTGACCAGAAGAAACAAAACACAAATATTTAGATACTGGACAATTACATTTGGGTAGAGTCAAAAGAAGCAAGCCATACTATGTTGTGGGAAGTCAGAAAATTGGTTTTCTTTAGAATTTTATTAAGTTTGACTTGAATCTACATATCAGTTTGAGTTAGATTGCCATTTTTAGCATGCTGAATTTTCTGATCTATTAACATTATGGAACTCTCTATTTATTTATATTTTCTTTAATTTCCTTTTTCAACAGTTATACTTTCTAGAAAAAATCATACATTTTTTCCATTAAAGTTCTTTCTTTTTTTATTTATTCATTTTTTATGCATTTTATTTTAGTTTAGTTTAGTTTTTTGTTTATTGCAGTAACATTGGTTTATAACATTGTATAAATATCAGGTGTACATCATTATACTTCTGTTTCTTCATGGATTACATCATGTTCTCATGCTCACCACCCAAATACTAATTACAAGCCATCACCACACACATGTGCCTAAATACTAAGGAACTGTTTTTCGAGGCTATGTAGTTGTTTCTTGTAAGTTTAACTTCTAATTATTCATTGCTGTTATTTAAAAATGAAATTGACTTTTATATACTGACCTTACCAACAGCCATCTTGATAAATTTGCTTTTTAGTGCTCATAGCTTTATGGTGAGTTCCTTGTAGTTTTCCACAGCACTACCTTTTCATTTGTCATTAAGGATACTTTTACTTATTATTTTCCTATCTTTTTCCTTATACTCTTTTTCTGTCCATAGCTCGAACATTCAATATCATGCTTAATGAATGTGGTGAGAGATGGTAAAATCTTTCCGTTTTTCTGACCTTAGATAGAACACATTGATCCTTTCAATCTTGAGTATAATGTGAGCTATAGGATTGTAGTAGATACCCTTAATGAGGTTTAAGAAATATTCTTCTATTTCTGGTTTTCTGAGTATTTTACTTGAAAAGATTTTGACATACAATAAGCGCTGCTGAACACATACTATAGACCATCTAAGACCTGAAAGAGAAGCTTCGTTGAGACCCTATGGGAAATCGAGACTTTAAAAAACAGCCATATATAAGGAGGAATTTAGAAAGCCATGTGCAAGGCCAGGCAAAGCACATGCTCAGCAAAGACATGAGAACAACTAAAGCTTTTACCTCAGGTTGATACCTACCCACAGTGCAAGCCTAGCTAAGTCTTTAAGGAGTGCCCAAAAACAGATGCAATCTGGAAACACTGGGAGACCCCCAGGCACTCAAGAAAATCTCAGTAAAAACTTAGCTGAACATGAGCTAATACTTTTGCAAAATATTTTGGAAATGTCTCCAAGTTAGACTACTAAACCATTCAACGTTTTAAAAAAGAATCAGCAAACCATGGGGAAGAGAGAATATCTGATTTCCAGAGTTACCACATTATAAATGTCAAATGCTCAATTTTCAACAAAAAAAAATATCAGAAGGCATGCAGGAAACAAGGAAATATGGCCCTTAAAAGGAAAAAAAAAGACCTGACAGAGACTGTTCATGAGTAAGCCCAGAAATCAGACATTCAGACAAAGGCTTTAACATAACTGTCCTAAATATATTCAAAAAACTGAAGTAAAACATGGAAAAAGAACTAAAATAACTCAGGAAAATACTACATGAATAAAAGGAAACTATCAACAAAGTGATAGAAATTATAAAAATGGAACTGAATAGAGTCTTTGGAGGTGAAAAGTATAACAAATTGAAATTTTCTCTGGAAGGCTTCAACAGCAGACTTGAGCAGGCAGAAGAAACAGTGAACATGAAGATAGTACAGTTGAAATTACTGAGTCAGATGAATAGACAGAAAAGGAAAAGTGAACATGGCCTAAAGGACTTAGGGAACACCAGCAAGCAACCAACATACTAATTACGGGAGTCTTAGAAAGAGAAGAGAGAGAAAAAGGGGCAGAGACATTATGTGAGAAATAATGCAGAGAAATTCCAAACTTTGATGAAAGATGTCAATCTACAAATCCAAGAACCTCAAGGAAATCCAAGTAGGAAAAACTTAAAGAGACCCACACTGAGACCCATTATAATCAAAACATCAAAAACCAAAGACAAAGAGAGAATCTTTTCTTTTTCTTTTTATGCTGAGTAAGATTCACCCTGAGCTAACATCTGTTGCCAATCTTCCTCTATTTTGTATGTGGGCTGCCACCACAGCATGGCCACTGACAAGTGGTGTAGGTCCATGCCCAGGAACCAAACACAGGCCTCCAATGTGGAGCACACTGAAATTACCACTAGACCACTGACACTGGCCCAAAGAGAGAATCTTGAAAGCAGCAAGAGAGAAGCAACTAATCACATACAAGGGCTCCTCAATGAGATCATTCGTTAATTTCTCCTTAGAAACTTGGGAGGCCAGAAGGCAGTGGGATGATGTTTTTAAAGTGCTGAAAGGAAAAACAGCCAAACAAGAGTTCTATATCTGGCTAAAGGATCATGTAAATATGAGTTAAAAATTAAGACACTTACCCATAAACAAAAGCTGGTGGAGTTCAGTATCACTAGACTTACCCCACAAGAAATGTTATAAAAGGGTCCTTCAGTTTGAAGTTAAAGGGCACTAGACAGCAACCCAAAGAAGAAATAGATATGAAGAAAAGAGTTCTCTGATAAAGATAAATGCATAGGCAAATATGAAACCAAGTATTATTGTAATTTTGGTGTGTAAATTAACTTTTTATTTTCCAAAGAATTTAAAACACAAATCATTAAAAATAATTTTAAATCTATATTTAAGTGTATAAAGATGTAATTCATGATATCAATATCAAAAACAGGGGGAGCATATAGCTGTGTAGATGTAGAGACTCTGATGCAATTGAAGTTAAGTTGGTATCAATTCAAACTAGATTGCTATAACTTTAGGATGTTATGTGGTAACCACAGAGAAAATATCTATAGAGTATACATAAAAGGAAATGATAAGGGAAACAAAGCATGTCACTACAGAAACATCAACTAAACAAAAAAGAAGTCAGTAGTAGAGGGAGTGAAAAACAAAAAAGCTGTAAGACATACAGAAAACAGATAGCAAAATGGCAGAATTAAGTCCTTCCTTATCAGCAATTACTTTAAATGTAAATGGATTACACTCTCCAGTCAAAAGACAAAGATTGTCAGAATGGGTTAAAAAAATAGAATTCATTGCTTGTCAGGCCATGCTGTGGTCGCATCCCACATAAAGTGGAGGAAGATCTGTATGGATGTTAGCTCAGGGCCAGTCTTCCTCAGCAAAAAGAGGAGGATTGGCAGATGTTAGCTCAAGGCTGATCTTCCTCACACAAAAAAAATAGAATTCAACTATATGCTGTCTATAACAGATACATTTTGGATCTAAAGACACAAATAACTTGAAAATGAAAGGGTAGAAAAAGATATCTCATGTAAATAGTCACCAAAAGAAAACTTGGTTGACTATTCCTAATATCAGATAAAATAGACTTTAACTCAAAAATTGTTATGAGAAAAAAAAAAGGGAATTCATATATTGATTTTAACAAAGTCAATTCAACAAGAATATATAACAATGATAAACATAGATACATGAAACAACAGAGCCCAAAACATATGAGGCAAGCAGTGGGAGAGTTGATGGGTGAAACTGACAGTTCTATAACAGTTACATAACTCAACAAACCACTTTCAACAATGCACAGAGCTACTAGACCAAAGAGCAATGA